TATATATATAAAACTTCCATTTGATGTAATTGTGCAGTTGCACACATTTATTGGTATTTCTCTCAGTATAATTATCACATTGCTTTATTGAAGTCGGAACAAGTTCAGTTTATCAGAAATATGCTTACATTTATCCCCCCAATGTGGAAACATATTTTTGTAACTTAAAATTAAAATGAACAATTAAAGAAAAATAAAATAAAAACAAGAAACATTTTAAAATCAGTTCTCCTGAACCAGATTCCCACAGTGAAAAAGTGTCAGCATCCTAGTGTTTGGTTGAAGAGGTCAAACTTTGCAGGTTTGGTCCGGCACACTGCTGTACAAATTAAAAAGCTTTTATTATTAACATAGCAGCTCTCAGGGAATCGACCTTCTTGTTTATCTACAACATAACTGTATGCCCCACTGATTTTGGAAAATTTGCTTTTCAGAGACCTGTTAATCAGGAATCAGCATAGATGTCAGCACCAAATATTCTTTGTTATTGCAGCTGCAATGTTTTAAATCTGTGTTCACATGAGATTTGCAGGAGCTTGCAAAGTGTACAAAATCTTCAAATACTGGTGCTGTTTTCCATGTGTTTGCAATGTTCAAAAGTTCCGCCTCCAAAGAATGCAGTATGCTGTACTTGCAATGCATGCACCTAGTAACATGATGTAGTCTGATACTGTTTTTAATAAACACTCTACTGCTCATGAAACTGTTATCTTCATTGACTAAATACTACACAGTTATGTTAAGAGTCAGGCTACTGAGACCTGTTCACCAGCATACATCTCTACTGACCTCTTCTGGATAACATTTGCTATTGCAAAAAAAAAAACTTCTCGGGGCCAATCCCAATTCTCTTCCCTTAAAGGAATATGCCAACGATTTGGGAGTTATGACCTTTCTCTATCATTTTCATATTGAGACAACATGATCAATATCATTTTTGTGTCTGTATGTCCAGTGGCTGGGTCTCAGCGGTTAGCATTGTGGCTTAGCTTAGCGAATACAATTGAAGTCTATAGGGGGTCAGTAGCCTACTCGTAAAAGTGAACAAATAAATGTTACAGAAACACTGAAGCTGGTATTTCTACACGTGCATTTAAAATAAACATGTTTAAACATTAATTTGAAAAACGAGAGTCCTTTTTAGTCGTTTTAGAATAAGTTTGATACACGGAACTATAGTGTGTTTACGCCCTGCGCGGAGGGATACACCGGTGAGCAACAGCTGCAGCTGGCTCTGGGACAGGTAAAGTTACGCTAGGTCACTCAGTAAAAGCAAACAAAGAGACGGCACGGAAGATATTACTCACTCGACTGAAAGCTGTCCATCAGCTCCTGCAGGCCTGGGGCATTTTTTCAGTTTATCTTAGGAACATGAATGTTTCAATCACGCCAGGATTATTGATTGCTGCAAAGATTTCACTCGTGATTCACTCTCTGCGGCGGTTTTCCTCCTGATGATGATGATATATCTCTAGCCTCCCCACTCGCCTGCTCAGCATCACAGCAACACCTGGAGTTCCTCATCTGTATACTCCGGCTCAAACAGGTATGGCTCTGGATCTGTGTCCGCTACAAGAAACAAAATCGCGTTCAAAGTCATCCATTGCAACTACTATAGTCTGGAGATATCGTTAGGCTAAATAAACAACTGAGTTTTGTTTACAGGCTATGTCTGTGCCTGTGCCTGCCCACCGGTGTATCCCTCCACGGATCACAGCGCAGAATGTACACACACTATAGTTCCGTGTATCAAACTTCTTCTATAACGACTAAAAAGGACTCTCGTTTTTCAAATTAATGTTTAAACATGTTTCTTTTAAATGCACGTGCAGAAATGCCAGCTTCAGGGTTTCTGTAAAGTTTATTTGTTCACTTTTACCGAGTAGGCTACTGACCCCCTATAGACTTCAATTGTATTCGCTAAGCTAAGCCGCAATGCTCACTGCTGAGACCCAACCACTGGACGTACAGACACAAAAAAGATATTGATCATGTTGTTGAAAATGATAGAGAAAAGGTATAACTCCCAAATCGTCGGCATATTACTTTAACCTTACCCTTTCGCCAGATGGATTCCCCTCAACCACCAAGGGGTAGTGTTGAGAGGTAGGGAATTTTACCTACGAACTGGGACGCCACTTCATGCAAATTAGCGTAACAGGCGTGTTCACCTACATCATTGGTATCATCACCATAGGCTTCTTGCACTCATTTCCAAAATGCTGGCTCCTGCCTGGCTGGATAGTTTCACAATGCATCCTGGAAAATTCAATCTTCCCCTCAGTTGGCATGGGTTTGTGAGTGTGCGTCGCACAGCCCTTCAAATTAAGTAGGGATTTTAAGGGCTGAAAAGCACTTCCCTAAAGTTTGGGACACCCTAGCCCTTCGAAGGAACGTGCAAAAACAAGTGCAAGGGCCAATTTTCAGGGGAAGTGTGAGTATTGGGACAGACCCTTGGTGCCTACAGTGCATCATACTAGTTCATTCACTGATGATTATTAGTGCTATACAAGAGGAAACTCAACATATTATAAAGTTATTCAGTATGGGAGAATAAATAAATAAATAAATTGAGGCTATGCTTTACTAAATCGAGCACTCGAGATGGCCTCCAAACTGTTTAATTCATTCCCTCGTTTTGGTTAATTTGTGCGCTTGAGATAAGTGTAACATGACTGAGAGCTAGCACAACACACACGCGGCTATTGTCATCAACAGCTCTGTATCAAAGCCTTGATTTCGCCCAGTTTTTAGATATGTTGAAAAGCTAATTTAGGCAGATATTTTACAGTTTTAATCAACTTGAAAAAATTAAATGTGACCATGCAGTTGAGAGTGCAATGAGAACGAGGGAACGACTTAATATCTTATAGAGCACATAAATTAACCAAAATGAGGGAAAGACTTATATTTCGATGAAATGACTTATAACTCCAGGGCACAAATTAACCAAAACTAGGGAAAGACCTTTATCTTGAGGGAACTACTTCTATCTGGAGCGCACAAATGAACCAAAATGAGGGAACAACCAGGGATGGGCAGTATTTCTATTACTTGTATTTAAAATACGTATTTCAATTACATTTCAGTATTTTGTAATTTGTATTTGATAAGGCCGATAAAAAACAAATGTAATTTAATAACAAAATACTTTTGAGTGGAGTAATTTTGTATTTTAAATACTCAAAATACTTTCTCACAAAAACAAAAAACAAAAATAATAGGCTACACATTCTCATATTATTGGATGTAACAATATTTTTTACTTATTTTTATTATCAAACTATTAAAACATATTAAAACTTGGGCCGTTCAATGTGCCCTTCAATGACCTAGTGGTCTGTTTTAGTGGACTGTGCATAACATAGGAAATTGTATGTTGTTGTGGTTGATGCTTGGGATGAGTATGTTGCAAATGAATTGCCTCACGTGGGATCAATAAAGTTGTCTGAATCTAAATCTGAATCAATAAATAATATTTTAGGGTAGCCTACAGTCCAAACCTGAATACTCTGCTATACCAAATTGTGAGAAAACAAGCGCAAATTTACAATAGCTGCGACCAAATTTGCTACTATCACACCATTAAAGGATGAATCATGGTTGTTCTTTCTGGCATAGTTACTTGTGGTCTCTAATTGCAGCATGTAAATTTTGAGCATTTTTGGTCAAGGACGTTTTGAGTTATTCTCAAAAAGATTTGAATCGGTTAGTATAGCGCCACCTATGGACGAATCATGATCATTCTTTCTGGTATAGTTACTCATGGTCTCTAGTTGCAGGATGCAAATTGTGAGCATTTTTGATCAAGGACTTTTTGAGTTATTCACAAAAAACTTTATGGACCGACCAACCAACCGACCGACTGACAGAGTAACCTATAGAGCTGCGGGTCGCTGCTAAAGAGAAAAAGAAAAAAAGTATTTCCTGTATTTGAAAATACAAAATACATGTATTTTATTTTGATACATTTTCTGGCACCAGTATTTTGTTTGTTTTTTTTTGATACATTTATTTGAGGAGTATTTTGTATTTTGTATCAAAATACATTTTGATGTATTTTTGCCCATCTCTGGGTGAAGTGAATAACATTGATCATCTTGTTGCAGTGCATTGTTCTGCTGGGAAACCTTGGGTCCCTGCATTAAAGTGAATGCTACTTGATGCACTCCACCCACCCGAACAGCGTTGCAGACCAAGTAAACCCCCTCATGGTGACGGTACTCGCTGATGGCAGTCCCACAGATGTTTGATCAGACTGGGAACTGGGGCATTTGGAGGCCAGGTCGGTGCCTTGAGCTCTTTGTCATGTACTTTGGGCCATTCCTGAGCAGTTTTTGTGGTGTGGCTTGGTGCAATGTCCTGCTGGAGGGGCACTGCTACTGGGGGATGCCGTTGCCATAAGGGGGGGTACCTGGTCTGCACTAGTGTTCAGGCAGGTGGAGCGTGTCAGGTGGCATCTATGGGGTGCCGTTTGTAAAGTGGCTCATGCTGAAAATAACATCAACATTTTGCCACATTTAGCTTCAAACAATGTTTAAAAAAGTGTTGTGAATTTTTTACCACATTTACAGCAATATTTGTTAACTTAGAAATATATTAAATAGTTAAATCTAAATATTAAATGTGGCACCTAAATGTTAAATGTTAAATCTAAATATTAAATCTA